TTACAGCAGGGCAGTACGGGCCGGACAGGGTGGGACGGGCCCGTGCGGGGCGGTACGGGTGTGAGTCTACTGCCTACGGGGCGGTACGAGGTTCTAACTTTCCCCGCCGTGGGCCGCCTGCTGTAAAAATTAATGAAAATCTCTGGGAAAAGCAACAAAACCCATCAAACCCAGCTGTTGAAGCAGGGGTGGTTCTAACTGCTAACTTGCCTTGGCGACGTTTAAGGTTCTAACTTGCTGCTCGGCGAAATTTGAGCCCGAGAAAGCAAAACGACGCTCTGGCAAAAACTGTGGCGACACGGGTGGTTCTAACCTGCCGTCCGGGAGAGTAAACCCCTCAACCCAAAACCCTAAACCAGTGGAACGTTTTGGGCCATGTGTCACATGCCCACATCGTTGCAGTGCTGGTGACGCCATCGATTCGAACCCCCGACCTGATTCGCCAACATCTTCTGGGTTCTTGTTCAGGGAGTTAATGTAGGGGCCTTAATCTTTAGAATAGGGTTTCCGGCTACTGTATAGTATAGTTAGAATGAGGAACCCTTACAGTAATATTAGTAATTTCCTGCTATACTAGATTCAAGTTACCATAATAAAGAAACTGTTTTATGTACGACAGATCCCTACTATGGTAGCTTAGAATATTCCTTAACAAGAACGCAGGTTCCGAGTTGAGACTGCTGGTGCATCCGGCAACCTTGAAGTTGTGTATGCTGTGTAGGGGCCTTACTTTACTAATTAGAATAGGGCTTCGGGGACCATTATACTATAATGATAACAAGGAACCACCCAAAAAATAGTATAGGTAATTATTTAGGCCCTTATATTATGCTGTGTAGGGTGTACACACTTTCGGATGTAGTGGGGTCTAGGGCTTAAGTGGTAACGAAGGGGCACAGGGCGCGGGATATCCATCCTACATTCGCAATCGCTCACCACTACGTTCGAAAGGAAGCGGCTGTTAGCCAGAGTGTTGGACAGCGACAGATTTCCCAGGACATTTTCGTTCGATCGGTGAACACGCAATCCATGAATCTGTGCCAGCGTGGACCGGGTTGAGACAAAACTTGCGAAGGCCAGGACCTGGATCATGACAGCAGCTGCGTTGGGTGTGGTGGAAACCACAAACAGCCAAAGTGAAACCCTAAACCCTAAACCCTGTTTTCCCCAAAGCCCTAAACCAGAAACCCTTAACCCTAAACCCTGAACCCTTAACCCTAAACCCTAAACCCTGAACCCCAAAGCCCTAAACCCTAAACAGGAAACCCTCAAGCTGAAACCCCCTAAACCCTAAACCCTAAA